GTAGGGATCTATTATCAACAACCTGACCAGGACAGTAATAGTGACTATGAAATGCTAAGGCAGATTAGAGAGGCTATCAAAATAAAGAACTCAGTATTAGTGGGGGATTTCAACTATCCCCATTTTGACTGGATACATGTCACCTCAGACGAGATGCAGAGACAAAATTTCTTGATACCTTAAACGACTGCTTCTTGGAGCAGCTGGTAGAGGAACACACAAGGGGAGAGGTAATTCTTGATTTAGTCCTGAGTGGCGCGCAGGATCTGGTCCAAGAGGTAATTATAACAGGACCGCTTGGAAATAGTGACCATAATATAATAACATTTAACATTCCTGTGGTCGGAAGAACACCTGAGCAACCCAACAGTGTGGCATTTAATTTAAAAAAGGGGAACTATGCAAAAATAAGGAGGTTAGTTAAACAGAAAATAAAAGGTACAGTGACTAAAATAAAATCCCTGCAAGCTGCATGGACACTTTTCAAAGACACCATAATAGAGGCCCAACTTAAATGTATACCCCAAATTTTAAAAAAAGCCAGCGTGGTTTAACAACTATGTAAAAGAAGCAGTGAGAGATAAAAAGACATCTTTTAAAAAGTGGAAGTCCAATCCTAGTAAGATAAAAAGAAAGAAGCATAAACACTGCCAAATTAAATGTAAAAATAAACAGGATGTTAGGAATCATTAAAAAAGGGATAAAGAATAAGACGGAGAATATCTTATTGCCCTTATATAAATCCATGGTATGCCCACATCTGGAATACTGTGTACAGATGTGGTCTCCTCATCTCAAAAAGAGATATACTGGCATTAGAAAAGGTTCAGAGAAGGGCAACGAAAATGATTAGGGGTTTGGAATGGGTCTCATATGAGGAGAGATTAAAGAGACTGGGACTTTTCAGCATGGAAAAGAGGAGACTAAGGGGGGATATGATAGAGGTCTATAAAATCAGGAGTGGTGTGGAGAAAGTGAATAAGGAAAAGTTATTTACTTTTTCCCATAATATAAGAACTAGGGGCCACCAAATGAAACTAATGGGCAGCAGGTTTAAAACAAATAAAAGGAAGTTCTTCTTCACACAGCACATAGTCAATCTGTGGAACTCCTTGCCTGAGGAGGTTGTGAAGGCTAGGACTATAACAGGGTTTAAAAGAGAAATAGATAAATTCATGGAGGTTAAGTCCATAAATGGCTATTAGCCAGTATGGGTAAGGAATGGTGTCCCCGGCCTCTGTTTGTCAGAGGGTGGAGATGGATGGCAGGAGAGAGATCGCTTGATCATTACCTGTTCAATTCACTCCCTCTGGGACACCTGGCATTGGACACTGTCGGCAGACAGGGTACTGGGATGGATGGACCTTTAATCTGACCCAATATGGCCATTCTTATGTTCTTATGTTCTAATTTTATTCTGGAAAAAAAAAAATCAAAGAGAAAATTTTGGACTGCCTCAATTCTGTGGGAAATTTTGAAATTTCATGTTTTTGTTCTGACGAGCTATTCAAACTTCAAAATTTGCCATGGAATGGAAATTCTAGGTTCTTACTAGTCATAATCTTGTACCCCTATTTACTGCAACAATAGCACATAACCATAATGATAAAGAAACAGTCTTCAGGTATGCCAACTTCATTCCACAACACTTAAAAGTTAAGGTAAAAAAAATCCTATACTCTACTCAGAAGCTATTACAGGCTGCACCTCCCAAATCCGGGATTCTCTCATCCGGCAACATCTGTGGTCCAGTATGACCATGGATGTTCCTGGATGAGAGCGTCCCGGGGCAATAGGGCCAGAAACTGGGAGCCTGGTGCAGCCCCATGAGTCTGCTAGCCTTAGGGCTACAGCAGCCTGGGCAGAGTGTGATTGGGGCTGTCTGCCACCCAGCAGCGGGGCTGGGACCACAGCAGCCCAAGAGGGGAAGCCTGGCCAGGCTGTGTCAGCCTTGGAGGCAACAGGGCTGCAGCAGCCTGGGCAGTGGTGGCAGTGTGATTGGGCCTGTCTTCCACCCAGCAGCAGGGCTGGGGCTGCAGCCCAGGATGGGACGCGGGCTGGGGCCACGGAAACCCAGCAGAATCAGTGCAGCCAGGGCCACATACTACCAGGCAGCAGGGCTGAGGCAGCCCGACTGAGCAGTGTGCCATGCTGCAGAGGGGCTGAAGCTGCCTGGCCAGCTGGCAGCAAAACAGGGGCTGGCGTGCAGACAGCCCAGCGGAGCTGAAGGAGTTGGCAGCGGCAGAGAGGCTGGTGTCTGGGGACTCCCTTTGTCCAGCAAATTCCCTCAGCTGGGAAAGGTCAGGTCCCGAGGGTTTCAGACAAGAAAGATCCAACCTGTACCATTTAAATACACATTGGAAAGTTTCAATGCATTTTGGAACCTTAAATTGCAAGTTTTTCATATTAGTACATTTTCTTATTAGACATTTCATTAATAATTTGACATACTCCAAATGCTATAAATAGTACTGTTAACTGCTTTAGATTGTAATGTCTAGATTATACTATTATCAAACAGACCAACACCACCATAATGGGGGACCTTCAAAGTAACTAAACTATTATGTTTGGGATATTAGATATGGAAAGTCAAAATGATACCTTTAGATATGCAAGTTGCTGGCATTTAGAAAATGCAAAAGCTAAGGGAATATGACAATGAAATGGCTAATTTGTTGGTTTTGTGGGGGTGAAAGAGGACTTTATTCTTATCTTGCACTTTACAATGAACAAGGCATTAGAAAACAAGATTCATAAAAATAAACATTAGTATATCAAATCTCCACCTAAGAGTAGCATTTTTACACTCCTTCCTGTACAAGGATGTGAATGAGTATACAAGCTACAAAGCAATGGAGAGTTATATTTATTTTAGTCCATTATGCACATAACGGATTAGCTTTGCTTTAGCATCTTTTCATTTAGAGAAACATCTGTGCGCAAGCATCTTTCTGTTTAAGATTAAGCACAACAAACCTTAAACTTGGTCAACACTTCAAAGTTATATTAGCATAGTTACCTCGGTCAGGGTGTGAGACAGATCCTTCCATTTTATTCCCTAACCTTCCTTCTCTTATCAGGATGAGTTCACAGTGACTGTATATTTTTATCCAAGGAAAACAGACTGGGGGGAGGGGCAGGGAGGAATTGGACAAAAGGCACATATATTTAAATCTTCCGTGGACATAAGAAATTGGATGCTATTTGCAAGAAGAGTCCAACTTTGTGAAAGTATTAGTTCCAGATTAGGGTGGCTGGTGTGTAAATTAAACCAGAGACTCTCTGAAGCAGTTCTCCTACCCCTAACACCACACATTCAGCATTTTTAACCTGTCTCAGCTACTAGTTGTCAGCCATTTGCTGTCTAGTAGCATATGCTAGACAAATAACGGGAACACCAGTCTTTTTTAAAGTTCATTTATTTTTTCCTAATAAGATACACTAAGATAGCAATTTTACATTAAGTTATCTTACAATTATGTTTCTCCCCACACACATTTTCACATTCATTTACCAACATGGTGATCCTATCCCCAAGTCAGGATTGTGCCAGTATTTCTACAGTAAACCCATAACTCACATTATGCAACGTTTTACTTAAACCCTTCTGCTTTTGTGCTGCAGGACAAATCTATACTAGGAAGCCCTGAATAACATTGATACAAATTATCAAAGAAAATAAGCATTCAGAACAAAGGCACACACAGAGGTGAATATGCATTTTATCAAAATGAACACAATATTAGACCATCAATTCAAGTGACATTTCCAACTGAAACATTATCTACTTTTGTTATGAATAACCCCTAAGATTAGAACAGAAAGAGAAGTTCTCTTCCATTTGTTCACTTGGCACTTCTGACACCACGTACACCCAGTTTCACTGTTTTGCAGATGTTGCCCGCCCTTCCTGAGGCTCTGCAAGAAGGTGTTTAACAGTAATAGCAGCAGCAGCAGAGCTAGTACAAAAAAAGGTAAGGAGGTAGATGTGCAGAGACAGAAAGGTGAAGGGAGAAAAAGGGTGGACCTGAGTATGTTCAGTGGGGTTGCCTTCAGGCCCACTGAAAACATCCTGGTGAATAAATGGGAACAGTTATTCTTTAAATGTTTGTGTGTGTTTGTTTAACCAGGGTATATTTTAATGGGTGCACCTTCAGAAAGAGGTTTTAATAGTGTTTAAAAATATCTGACTGCCTCCTCTCTGTGGCCAGTTATGCCTCTGCAGGAGATAAGAGAAACACAACCCAAATGGTGGCAGCGTAGGTAGCAGTTGCTCAATCGCAGTCCAACGATATGCAGGGAGTGGGGCTATGGCACTAACCAAACACTCTTCCTTTGCAGTTTCTAGCACTAGCTTCAGAATTAGCAGGCTCTTTTGCAGTCCCCCCTGCATCTAGTCTCAAACCATGCCCAAGGGTAGAAAGTGGGGGCATGTCATCTTACTCCTCAAACCCTCTTCCTCCTACTGCTAGGGAGCCCATAATTTGGCCGTAAGTATGTAACTCTGTGGGGTATGGGGCATGTCTCCCTGCCAATTTTGTAAACAATTTGGGATAACAGGGTACTGTAAAAATAGTGAAGAGAACAAAGACACAATGTACTGTACTGTACTGTAAAAATAGTGAAGAGAACAAAGACACAAAGTGAGGCCAACCTGTATTCTTTGAAAATGAGCAGTAAAGTGCAAAGGTGAGCAGAGTATCAGCCTTCCCTTTCAATTTAAATTGCCTTTGGAATTTGAGTCATAACTAGGGTGCCCTATTAGCATACTAACATGGAAGTTAATGAAATACATATTTACCAGTCAAAATAATTGTGCTTCTAGCCCACACGTCCTGTCTATCCTGTTTACTGTCACTATATATTTAAAACCCAGACACTTGCTTACAGCTGAAGTTACTTGCATAGCCTGGCAAGATATGGGTTCAGAAAGCACTGATAATTGAATATTACCCATTATACAAAGATGTTTAGCTGTAATTACTAAAATATTCTTGGCCTTTGTAGCAGAAGCACATCATGCAAGGAGTGCATATTACATTCATGAACACAGTATTTGAATTTCACTAAAATAGTGACTATACAAGTCAAGAGTCCGAAAAAAAAATCCAAATGTAATTGCTATTTAATACAGACAGTGTTACATTATATGTTGCTTGCATACTTTTATTCACAGTTTGCAAAGTTAAATAAAATCTTAGGATCTGAAATACACCTTTAAAAGAGAGATTCCCTTGTCACAGCCTGTAACAAATAAAGTTGTGTAGATATTGGGCAGAAAAACTCAAAGAGAAAACAAGTATGACAGCAGCAAATGTTCAGTTGAACTAGTTTTGAAGTCAACTTAAGAATCAATACATTTTTAAATCACAGCAGGAAAATGTCTGTAAGAGCATATGAGCGAAATACTATGAACTGAAATCTTTTACCACCAACTTTGTCCTGGCATTGTTTTAATTAGACTAATCACAACTGACTGAATAAGACAAATTAGGATCACCATCTAATGATTTAGAAGAAACCAATGATGCTGGCGGGGTGCTTAACTTAAAATGGCTCTATAACCACCACAGTGGCAACTCCATGTCTTGTCTCAGCTTCCAAAGCTACAGATGTTCAAAAGATGGTTTTCTAATTGCGAGTCCTGTAAGCCACAAGAAAATCAAACTGGGTTCAGACTCATCTATGACCTAGGACAATTCTGCAGCTACAATTTAAAAAGTGCATTAGTATGGACTTGTGCCAGGAAGGATTCACTCTATAGTAGCTATTTTGGCTTTGCAGTGATAAGTGCAAGTTAAACATTTCCTCCACTGCCCCATATAGTAAGTTAACTGGTTAACTGAGCTTGAAATAGACATAGGAAATAGAGATGACTAAAAAGTAATTTACATATTGTGACTTTCGTATCAATAATCTTTGAAGAAATTCTGTTCGCATAGCAAGACTATCTCTCCCGCTCTTCTTACAGCCAATATTAATCAGGATTGTGGTTAAAACTATGTTATTAAGGGAGTGAACACCAGAATCTTAGGACTGCTTTTCCCTAACCTGGTCTTATTGATTATTTGTACAGGGTGGTATGGCAGCAGTAGCAGAGAAAGACGCGCTAGTGGCTCTAAGCGTACATCATTCCTGTTCTCTGTGCTCAGAAGTGTAGTTTTAGGACTGAATGAGAGCATATTGGAGAAGAGACAGATGCTTGAAAGTCTAGGATGGCTGGTGAATAGAATGCATATGTATATTTTATAAATTTACACGCAAATAATGGAGTAATTAATTAAGAGAACAGAACAGAAATATGAAGAGAAAAAGGACAGCATGGGCTAGGAGGAAAAAAAGGTCAAAGAAAACAAAACAAGCTGAGGAAGGAGGAAAGAGTTCACTGTTTACAGTAGAATTATTCATATTCTTGTACGGAAATGAGGTTTCTGGAAAGGCTATGAAGTAGCAGACTCTAAAATGAAGTGCAAATCACTTGACCATAAAGGCAGAGACAGTGAGAAGTGAAAAGAGAAGGGAGTAATTTCTTTAAATGAGAATGCCTGCAAATGGCATCTATTATAAATGTTTTCCAAGAAAACATGCTTCCTTCTTTCCTAGCAGTTTTATTTAGGATGTGTAAACTTCCAGCAAATTCAAATACTTCCTTCAGGGTCTTGTTACTACCATCATTCAGTACAATGAAGTCCCTTTATTTCAGTATAGCATGATGGTGCCAGTGCCTGCTCACAGTTTCTTGGTTTATTACTCTCAAGCTGCCTATGCAGATTCCAACCTCAGACTAAGATACCTTAGTTTAAACTCTCTCTCCTAGAATTTCAGCCTACTTGTGCCACTGATTCTTAAAAATGTCTGTTCTGGGCCTTCCCTGAGTGCTCATTAGCATCTGATCACAACATATTCTGAATATCCGACACATTAATATCCCAAACACAGGGCAAGTTTTAGGGGCCACTAATCTCTTTGGCCCTACACTTTATAGTCTGTTTTTGTTGCAAACTTAACAGAGAATTTTAACTTTGGCTAAACAGAAAATGCCATGCATCTCCAAATCACACAATGTTTTATAAAGATAATCATGCAGTGGAATCAATTTGATTTTACATTGATACGATAGTGTATGGGCAACAGATTTATAATATAAATAATTAGATTTCTTCAAATACATTGAGGGAAAATAACATCTTAGAAATGTATTTTGAAGTACTTCACTAAATTATTTAGTCTGTTCTTCCAGTTATTAAATTATGCAACATAATTTAATAAAAATTGGAAAATGTGTGACTAGTTTGCGAAATTATGTTTTCAAGTAATCAGTAACTTTTCAGCCCAAAAATGTTCACAAGAAACAGTGAAGTAATTTGGTGCATTCAGAACCTGGCATCAGAAAGTAACAATGCACATTCTTTAGAAACCCTCTATTCCAATTTTTAGGCTAAGACACATTGCTTAAGCTAATTTTCAAAATTAGAAAAATGAAAATGATCAATGCTACACATTTAAGGTTCATTCTTCTTCAGTACAAATTTTCTGGTAGTGCAATTGGGGAATGTGAATGTCTAAAAGATTTCCATTGTCTCATCGAAGTCCTGACCAGCTGTGGAGGTACGAAGCCCAACCAGAGGGCCGTGATGCACTTTCTTCCTCACCTGAAGGGGGAAAAATATGCTTATAATCTTCATCAGCACTGAACAATAATTATGCACAAGTGAACTGAATGATGCAGTCTTATGCAGAACAGACACAGAACATTTACTTCTGTCAATTTTCTTACATTCAAACCCCATCCTTATGTTTACTGGTTACCAAAATTTTGGAGGGATATTCTTAAAATATTCTCTGGAAAATTGCTATCACATTGAAAGATATCATCATTATGAAATGCCACTGTCCAGAATACACTTTGTTTCGAGTATTTAAGGAAACATGTCTGCATTTGGCAGGCATAAAAGGTTTGTTTCAACTTCTTTATTGACTTCCCCTTCAAGATCCCATGTTTTAGAGGTGAGGTCTAGTCCACAGGGACTGCCAGAATAGCAATACTCAATGCTGGGAACCTTTTCTGTTTTGCCATTCCAATAATAAATCCTCCCATTTATTACTTTAGTGTGTCAATACTTTTCATGGTCATGCTCATGTCTCCTTACTTAATGTTCAGTAGTGACTGACTTATTCCTTATTTAAAAAATTATCTGGAAAGTGCATACACTATAGCTGAATTTAAAATGTTTAGGGAAACTAATTAGTTAACTAAGGGAAATGACAACGAATGCCCATGTTTTGAAAGGGATAATAAAAAAAGCATGTTGAAAATTTCAGAAGGAATTGTGTTTGACAAGTACCTTAAACATTTACCATCAGAGGGAGTGCTCTAGTTACAAAGGATACATCTACACAGCAGCGTTATTTCAAACTAACTTAGTCCATGTCTACACAGCAGGCAGTATTTCGAAATAATGTCAAAATACTGTCAAGCAGGAGGACTTCTTACTCCGACTCCTGTAACCCTCCTGTATAAGGAGTAAAGGAAGTCAGAGCAAGAGTTCTCAGTTTTGAAATAAGAGCTGTGTAGATGCTCCTAATTTCAAAATAAGCTAATGTGAAAAAAGCTACGCAATTGACGTACCTCAATTTGCATAGCTCATTTCGAGTTAAGCCCTGCACCAAATTTATTGCAGAGGCCTGAATTTTCTTAGATTCTTCTACTTATGGGATATTTGTTGGAAAGTATTTTTAAAATTAATCATTAACCATTAAGAAGTCAGTTTTATAATAGGGCCTTTTAAAATTAAAATTAGACTATAACTTCTAGTTTCTTGTGAGAGCATCTGCCACGAGAGCTATTTCACAGCTTTTTCCCCAGAAAAGGTATTTTGTCTGCTATAAGTTTTAACAAGAAAGGAAGTGATATCTCACTGTTTCTTAGGGTTTGTATTTTAACTTCAGATAATTTTATTTTTAACTTTTGGCTAACGTTGTTTTCTGACAGTTATGAATATCTTAACTCTCCTCTAAATGACCAGAATAATTCTATTGCTCTGTGGGTTTACACAATATTCTTGATCTTTATTGTTCTGCAAGATCTGCACAGAAGTCACATTTCATTTTTCTTTTCTGCTTTCACATTCTGTTTCTGCAACTTTTTGATAATATAGAAGTACCTCATACCATGGGCTATTGCAACAAGTTTTCCCTTTTCTTCAGGGCTGAGCTGCAACATGGTATCCATTACTGGAAGAAGCCTCTCTCTTTCACTCCCTGACTTCAGAAATATAAATTGCAGCAGTACATTTTTCAAGTATTCCAGATTAGCAACAGACTTCTCTCGTTCTTGGTTTCTTTCCAGTCGTCTCACTTCACTCTTGAGAAGCTGCAGGCAGAAAGAAACCATTAAATATGACATTACCTTACTGATTTTTATAAAATGAAAGACTGAATATAATTAGTCTGAGGAACACGGCATCTGTATATTATATACGCAATAAGGTATTGAAAGCGTTAAGCAGTTTGCATAAGATGTGTTCTGGGCAAAGATCCCATGGAGCCTGAAGGTGGCACAGAACTAACTATGCCTGAATTTGGATGTACAGCTGGCCTCCAGATAACTCAGAATTCATTTAAGCTATTCATAATCTTAAACACTTTTTGGATAAGTTTTGCATTATTATTTCAAAGTAATTTATTTATAAAGAAAGTATGGGGTAACAAGGTACAGATTGCGCAATTCTGATGACCAGGATAAAATTCAAAGGGTTGAATTGTTACTTGGATTATGTTTTGGCAAACTATTCACTCACCTAATCTTCTTAATATATATGCATTTTAGAAATGAGTATCTCTGAGTTCAAGAACTCCTCCTACACAGTAAGAGCTAGGACCACCAAATTTGATATGAAGCTTCTTCTTATCATAACTTAAAGCAAGGTCAGGATTTGGTTGTGCCAAGACAATAGGATGGCTGGAATTCAATTGTTTCTCATAGAATGGAAAGAGAGGTATCTGGTAGTTATAATGTAGCATGACTACAGAGGGGCAGCAAGAGGCCAGAGATGGGGACTGGGACAGCTATAACCCCACTGGGCCAGCAGGGGTGGAGAAAGGGACATCTATCTACTATATATTTCAGAGAGTTTGTCTGTCTGTCTATCTGTTCCCCAGCTGGGGGAAATGCACCCTCCTCTAGCTGTGCTTGTTTGTAGCTGCAGTGGCCATGGACAAGCACTTCTCACCTGGCCCCAAGCTGCTGCAGTGAGAGGGCTGTGGTTGTCCTCTCTTCCTGGGGCAGCCTGCATACTGAACTCCTCATCCTCAACCCCAACCCCCCAAAATGATTTAAATGAAGAAAAACAAAATTTGTTTGAGTTAAGGTCCGAGCAATACCAGGTAAATCTTCTAGTTAGGAAATACTTATAAAGCAAAATTTGTATGCACACAAATTGTATTAATAATAGACTGTGAACCTCACAAGAATGCTGCTTTGAAGACTGGCTTTAAAAAAAACCTGTTACTTTCAGCTGCAGAAAATGCAAATTGGTTTTGTTAGAAAAGCAGTAAAATAAAGGGCAGTCTTTGAAAATAGGAATTTTGAATCTGCCAACCCTTATCAAACTGAGTAGCTCCTAAAATGCAATTAGATAAGTAACTGTCATCTGATGTTATATCAGTTCAGTATTCAAACATTCAAGAAATTTAATGCTCAACCAACATTTACATCCAGCGAGTAAGGGTGCACTTAAAACCCTTACGGAGGATGGAAGGGAAAAGGGAGTAAAAAGAAAAATCAGCTATATGGGAAGAATAATTTAACTTAAAATGTTATGATTTTTCTGAGAATTATGTCTTTTTTGCATGTGAACACTGACTAATCATACCAAGTACAGGGTGTAATTTGACAGTGTTATGTAAATATGTGGAATCTGAAAAAATAAACGGGTAGTAAAATTTTGCATCTCACCAGATTTCAAAACATTCCAGTTTGAATAATAAGTTTTGTGAAACAACTAATCTGTTAAGGTATCAAAAGGATTTTCTTTAGGAGACAGACAGACACACACACAAAACCTCTAAAGAAACATATCTAATATTTTAGTGACAGCTACTAACCTTAATTTGTTCCATTAGTATTGCATTTGTTGCTTCTGATTCATGAAGCAACCTATTCAAATGATCAGCACTTTTTGTTGTTGTGTTTAGCTTCTGGAGCAATTCTTCTTTGGTGAGTTCTATTTGCCCTTCAGGTGGTTCTGCAATTTAATATTTCAAAAGATTAATTTGTAGCTTAATTTACATTAGGACTGTTGGTTTATTATGGTCTTTTTTCAGAATTACACATCACAGTGGCAACATCAAATCACAGGAATGAAAAACGAGAAGTCAGGCTTCACCACCCATTCTTAGTCTTGCTGCCAAAATATTTGTCATTTAAGTTTGTAGCAACCAAACTATTTTATTTTTTAGAAACAGACTTCCGTGTTTCTTTAAGTGACTTGGGGGAATAATCTCATGTTCTCATGTTCCTGTCTGATGATTTCAGTTTTTCCTCAAAATAGTTTTTGGACTTGTAGTCATCTCTGTAATGGATTAGCTGATGTTCTACATTTCCTTGCTCTACTTTTTGAGACTTCAAAAGCAAATTCATGCACTTTGGCACAAGTTCTTTCTGATTCCATGTTCTCTAATGTGAATGGGATTGGACTAGTAAAGTCAATGTTCATTTTGCCTCAATTTAATAGGTGTTAGATGAAAAATTAGCTTTCTATGCAATATTGTGAGATATTTTCTTCATATGCACGGTTCCTACAGTTTACCTACTCATTCACTCATCTGTTCTCTTTCCCATGAAAGTCCCTAAATGTAAAAAAATTTACAAATTTGAAATAATCTTGGAATCTATGCATAGAAATGGTAACAAACATAACCCTTAATCACTATTCAAGGACAAAGCTTATACAAAAATTAATAATGTTAATGTACACTCAGTGCTAAGCAGTAGATAAGGGTTTAATGTCTGCAATACGAAGGAATCAAAACTTGTATTTCTAACCTCAAGGAGATATTGCACAATTTAGGTTGAGGCACAATTTAGGGTGAGCATTACCTCACCTAACTTTTAGGTGGCCTGCTGCCAAGTGGAATTCACAGTCCCAAGTTAGGAGCCACAGCTTTCTATACAATGCGCTTGGAGCATCAGGTACCTAGAAAAAGGACTTACAGAAGCCAGCATGTTGAGTGGAGAGACATCTAAGCTAGCCAGTAGGAAATGCTCAGGAAAGAGGGGTGGCCAAAATTCCATCCTTCAAAAGGATACAAGTGCCTGTCTCTACTTAGGTGTCACAATCATGATCATCTCCTGGGATAGGTGCTGAACCCAAGCCAGTCATTTTTGTGTATATACAACCCTGCCTTATCCCCTAGCCTATTCTGGTCTCCAGAATGTAGGTGAGCTGGGATTGAATCTCCACTTTGCCTGATGGATAGCAAGGACTTGAAGCCAACTCTCCCACATCCCATGCAAGTGTTCTGACCACTGGGTGAAAGGGTATTAGGACTCAATCTCTTTTGTTGAAGCTGTTTCATTTCTATAAAACATTTTTAAAATACTAATAACATGAGAAAGAGACACACCAACCTCTATTATCCAGTGTTTAGGACACTCCCCTGGGATGTGGGAGACCCTGCTCCACATCAGGCTGAGTGAGAACTTGAACCTGGGTCTCCCACATCCTAGATCAGTGTGCCAACTTTGAGACTTGGGTAAAAGAGCATCACCACCCCCATTTTCCTCCATTTTGTGTAGAGTCCAGTATAGAGGATATGATCTATGCTGGCCTCTGATTAGGTCTATTGCATGAGGTCTTTCAAGCGAGATCTTACTTTCTGAATCCCACTGATGCTTAAGTGTGGAACTGCTTGGTGGTTGACTGAGGCAGCTATACACATGTCCAAAGGCAGAACTTTAGGCACATGGGGGACCTTATCATTGGAAATTTAGGTGCCTATAAGGTTAGGCAGCAACTAGGCAGGGATTGTGAGGATCTAGATTTGGGACTTAGGCATCCAAAGTGGCTGTCAGGTACTCAAGTCTCTATTAAGAA